TCTTTTTGGAGGTGTTTTGTGCTCACAAAGGCTATACTTATTGAATAAAAATGTAAAAATAGTAATATTGTGAAATAACTGCTTTCTAAAATGTAAATTATTCCTGTGATGGCAGTTTTCAGTGTCACATGATCCTTCAGAAAGCATGACATTATTTCCTTCTCAGTAAACATGACTTATTATCAATATTGAAAACAGAAATGTGTTTTCTTTCAGAGGTAACCTGAAAAGTGTGTTTGATCAAGTCAAATTAACTGCTTAATACAAGTCAAAATATTATTTATTTATTATTTAATAATAACATGTCTGTATCAACTTGACTACATTAGGATACACTAACAAAAGTCATTTTGGTGCTTCCTTAAAATGTGCACTATTAACATTACCAAACAGAAAAAATAATGTCTGATTTCAAACAGGTTGTCAAACAGCTGTTTACATTTTTGGGGGAATCAACTTGAGAAATACTTAAAGATGTCTCTATATATTAACCCCAAAGGGTGCTGGTTGGCCTATGCTTCTTTGTTTACTGTTTATCCTTATTTGAGGGCAGATTACAGGGCTAATAACGTTCGCCACATGCAGCAGGGAGATATACGTTCCTCATTAGCAGCGATTAGCATTTCACTAATTCTTGCAAGAGGCCACTCTTTGATGTTCTCTCCCTAGTCCAAATGCTCTCTGAAGTAATTGCCTTTGCCTCCAAAGCCTCATCCTGCTATCTCTCGGCTTTCAATCCTCACAACTCAGTTATTTATTTTTGCATTCCCTGTTCTTCAGCTTGTTGATTGGTTAAGAAGATAGGATAAGGAAGTGAAGGGTTAGCACTGAACACAAGCTTATGGTCGCAAAAGCTGATTAAGTTCAAGCTAGGATGATTTATATCTCGGCGTCATTATTTTTAGCAGTGGTAAGGTGATTAAGTGATCAGTTTGCTGTCAGTTGCCGAGTACTGTAAGTGTGGTGTTGGAGACTTGTTGTATGTGTTGGGAGGGAAAGTTCACCCAAAAAGTTGTTCCAAACCTGTGTGAGGTTCTTTCTTCTGTTGAGCGCAAAAGAAGATATTTTTAAGAACCAAACAGTTGACGGTAGCCATTGACTTCCATAGTATTTTGTTTCCATATTATGTAATTCAATGGCTACTGTCAACTGTTTGGTTACCAGCATTCTTCAAAATATCTTCTTTTCTGCTAAAAAGAAATTCATACAGGTTTGGAATAACTCGAGAGTGAGTAAATGATGATAGAATTTTTATTTCTGGGTGAACTATGCATTTAAATCTGCAATACCACTTATAACAGTGAATAAATACTGTATGACTGCATTTGTTAGTTTATAAGAAAATAATAGCAGTAAACAGAAATTATGTACTCAGCAAAGGGAAAAAATGTATTGTGCAGGCCTTCCTCTAAAGATCAGTCTGTTTTGTGGATCAATGGCAGCCGTGCACTCGATTGAAGCTGCTTATCACATGTGTTTGTATTTACATGTGAGGAACTGCAGTATACCTGGTAGAATTAGCCTCTAGAGTGATGTGAAACAATGAGAGACATACCTTTTAGTTTTCAAGTGCTTTCGTTTATAGGAATCATTCACCTAAAAATTTTGTCATCATTTACTCACTTGCTTGTTGTTCCAAGCCCATATGAATTAATTTCTTCTGTGGAACATATGAGGGTGAGTAAATGATAGAATATTGGAAAACTTTAGTTTGCTACGCTTTAGGATGTGTTACCCCAAATGTACAAAATGATTAAACAAACCCATGCAACTTTTTACAGTCAAACCCCACAAAACCATGAACTACCATTCAACTCAGATGCTCTTAATTTAAGAAAATGCTCAAATACTTACCTAAAAAACATGCAAACTTTTTTTTTTGAACATCAAAGGCAAGTGTTTACAGCCAAGATATGAAATTGCGATATTGTGCCAGAGGCTTTTTGAAGACTAAAGTGGCCTACAAAAAGGATATCACCAAATTCCAGAAGCCCCTGTCTCCTGTCACAAATAATCACAGCACAGCACAGTGCGGTAACTGTCTCAAGGCGGCTGTTGTGTGTTAAAACAGCTGACTGTATATTTATAAGCTGTAAAGGACTTTCTATCGACAGATATTTTATTTAAAGTTACATAAGAAGGAAATTGTAGATGGGGTCAGGGTTTCTGGAAAGGTGCACATATTTGTGTTTGTATTTGAGTTTGTGTTCATTGTAGGTATTAGAATCTAGTGAGACTGATTCCTTTTTAATAATTCTGATTCCTAATTATTCTATTTATGATTCTTATAGTACTTTTGAGAGCATAACGAATGTAATGACTTGCGGTTAATTCAGTAAAACAGTTCAGTGAATCAAGAGCCATTAGACTTATTCACACTAACTTGTGAGCAGACTGATTCATGAGTCTTTTTGACCCATACATTTTAATAGATTTACAGATTATTTACTTTTTTTTTTAATGCAACAAGCTTTAGATTTAGATCTCCAATGCTAGTTTGATGTGCATTGTTGCTACCCATACCATTTTAACTACACATAGCCTAAAGAAAACATAAGTATGTGAGAGCCTTAGAGCATTGCACTCTTGAGTTTTATGTGGTCTTTGGCCCTTTTTATGGATTATGGACCATGGACATAAAAAAAGCAATTGGAGAAATGTGATTATGAATCATATGATCTTTTTTTTCAGGCCTTGATTGTAGAGTCAGAGCAGTGCTTTTGATCTATTTTCTGAATATTGAAAAAAATTGTAAATGAGACTAAAGGAAAAGGCCCAGAGTATGTCTTTCTGCAGTTTTGGATGAAATAAGGCTATTTCTAATCTATTGTAGAGATCTAGCCTATGGCCTAGTGCTACAATTGCCAGTTTCAAAAGCAGAGGCAAAAAAATCTTTGATCATTTTGCACAGCCACACTTTAAGTCGTTCGTCTTTCAGCTTTCTCAGTGGGCACATTCTTATTTCCTTTCTGCGGCATATGTGTGATCTGGCACATTGCATTACACTTCTTCCTCTTCCTCATTCTTGTAAATGCAGTTCTTATCTTCTGCATATAACATTTATCTTTAAGAGGAATCTATGCTTGAACAGACAGTGCTACTTATGCATTTGTGTTTTGCAAGTCATATGACATTCTCATATCTTTTCATTGATTATTTGCAGCAGTTTAAAATGTCAAAATCAGGCTTCTGTCCAATAGGCTACAGCAAATGTAGTCTGCATGCTGCCACATCTACACCAGAGCCGCATCTCACCCCAAAACCATCATCACTTTCTTACACTACTTTTAAAGGCTCAATGGATAAATAGATATAAGTCTAAAGACAAATCAAAGTTTTTTTTTGGATGTGATGTACTGTACCATGGTACAGTATGTATCAAAGTGCTATATTAATACACAACCATTCAAAACCATTGGGGTCAGAAAGATTTTTAAAATCTTTTTGGAGGTGTTTTGTGCTCACAAAGGCTATACTTATTGAATAAAAATGTAAAAATAGTAATATTGTGAAATAACTGCTTTCTAAAATGTAAATTATTCCTGTGATGGCAGTTTTCAGTGTCACATGATCCTTCAGAAAGCATGACATTATTTCCTTCTCAGTAAACATGACTTATTATCAATATTGAAAACAGAAATGTGTTTTCTTTCAGAGGTAACCTGAAAAGTGTGTTTGATCAAGTCAAATTAACTGCTTAATACAAGTCAAAATATTATTTATTTATTATTTAATAATAACATGTCTGTATCAACTTGACTACATTAGGATACACTAACAAAAGTCATTTTGGTGCTTCCTTAAAATGTGCACTATTAACATTACCAAACAGAAAAAATAATGTCTGATTTCAAACAGGTTGTCAAACAGCTGTTTACATTTTTGGGGGAATCAACTTGAGAAATACTTAAAGATGTCTCTATATATTAACCCCAAAGGGTGCTGGTTGGCCTATGCTTCTTTGTTTACTGTTTATCCTTATTTGAGGGCAGATTACAGGGCTAATAACGTTCGCCACATGCAGCAGGGAGATATACGTTCCTCATTAGCAGCGATTAGCATTTCACTAATTCTTGCAAGAGGCCACTCTTTGATGTTCTCTCCCTAGTCCAAATGCTCTCTGAAGTAATTGCCTTTGCCTCCAAAGCCTCATCCTGCTATCTCTCGGCTTTCAATCCTCACAACTCAGTTATTTATTTTTGCATTCCCTGTTCTTCAGCTTGTTGATTGGTTAAGAAGATAGGATAAGGAAGTGAAGGGTTAGCACTGAACACAAGCTTATGGTCGCAAAAGCTGATTAAGTTCAAGCTAGGATGATTTATATCTCGGCGTCATTATTTTTAGCAGTGGTAAGGTGATTAAGTGATCAGTTTGCTGTCAGTTGCCGAGTACTGTAAGTGTGGTGTTGGAGACTTGTTGTATGTGTTGGGAGGGAAAGTTCACCCAAAAAGTTGTTCCAAACCTGTGTGAGGTTCTTTCTTCTGTTGAGCGCAAAAGAAGATATTTTTAAGAACCAAACAGTTGACGGTAGCCATTGACTTCCATAGTATTTTGTTTCCATATTATGTAATTCAATGGCTACTGTCAACTGTTTGGTTACCAGCATTCTTCAAAATATCTTCTTTTCTGCTAAAAAGAAATTCATACAGGTTTGGAATAACTCGAGAGTGAGTAAATGATGATAGAATTTTTATTTCTGGGTGAACTATGCATTTAAATCTGCAATACCACTTATAACAGTGAATAAATACTGTATGACTGCATTTGTTAGTTTATAAGAAAATAATAGCAGTAAACAGAAATTATGTACTCAGCAAAGGGAAAAAATGTATTGTGCAGGCCTTGTGAATTTTATTTGACAATCTGACAATTATGGAAAGATGATACGTTATGTGGAGAACAAGCCAAACATTTCAGCGGGAAGGGAAGAAATGCAAAAAAGTAAGCAAGCCAAGTTATAACAGTATTTAACATTATTATCCCTTTCTCTGCCCTTCTAGGAAAGAACAACACCTTCTCTCTTCAGTAAACTGCTGGTATCTGGTTTTGAACCAGACTCGAAGAGAAAGCAGAGATCATGCCACACTTAATGATATCTACATCAACAATGTCATCGTTCGCCTGGCTCAGATCAGCGAGGATGTCATCCGGCTCTTCAAAAAGGTCTATAGCTTTGACATTCTTCTTTTTCTTCTCACATCCATTTAAATACCATTATAATATCATGTGTACTTTTAATTAACAGACACCTCTGTGTTCATACTTGCTATTTGATCAGATTATTAAGTTCCAAGAGATTTTTTTTTTTACACGAAATTAAATGAAAAATAGGAAATAATGTTAATTGCATTGTGGGATTCGGTATGGTTTTAATTGCATGTACATTTGTATACATCCATGTTTCATTTATTTTTACTAGCTTATATCTCGCAGTTCTGTTTTTTGTTTCTGCAACGGAATAAAAAAAATTAAAAGGTGACTTTTAGGTGACGATTCTGATTTAGTTTCTCAAAATTGTAATTTTATATCTCGCAATTCTAAGTTTGTGTCTCACAATTATGGCTTCATATCTAGCAATTTTCTCAGAAAAAATGTCTGAATTGTGTAATTAAAAAGTTGCAAATCTTCCATGGGAAGCACTGAACTTTTTCAAATGTGGGAAATCATAACACCCTTTGCTGCTTCAAAATCATTATTTCACACATTCTTTCACACAGCCAAATGACTTTATACATTTGCATGCAATTTCTTGGCAGACATTTTTCTTAGCACACCAACGTCTCCCTTCTTATTTTAGCTGTTCTGTTGGAATTTTAGGCTGAATTTAAATGCTTGCAGACGTGTGTACGGATGGTATGCGACAAAATGAATGTGCATGTTAAAAAGCATGCTGTCTCACAGGGTGACTACAGCCTATTTATGCACATCCTCTCAGAGTTAAAGTCATACTGTGGCGAGAAGTGCCGCTACTGGCTGTATTCTCCGTGGTGTGACTTATGGGGTCTGGACTATATGAGTTGGAACGCTGTCAACACATAGCCTGGATTCCTGTGGTGTAATCCAAACACTACTAGCGTGTTTACACCTGGCTGCTTTTCCTGTAGGTGAGGCCCTGTGCTTCCAGCCGCCATTCATAGGAGAGTGGTTCTGTGAGGTGACTGTGAACCAATAAAACACACCTAGAGCACCCTGGGAAGCTGTTAATTGCTTGCAGTGAGTGTACTCAAGGTCACCTAAGATACCCTACTCTGTATGAGTGCTGCTGTGATGTGACAGGCTTATATTTATAAACAGGTCTGCATATCTTTACAGATTTCCTGATTTGACTCTAATTCACTTTCAGTTCGATGTTATTCAGTATACGGTTCATTTTGATTCATTTTGGCATATTACAGTTAGAATGTCCAAAAATATTTTCCAAAAATGTTCTTAGAAATATAGAGAACCTTCTAATTTGCCATTATGAACACTATGAACATTATGCATTTTTTTTTACAAATATCATCACCAATAATCATACATATTAATAATATGTGGATATAAAATAAAATTGCCTTTCTAGTGTCAAACTTTTATAACTACTAAAAATGATAAACTCATAAACACTTCACTTTAATATGTGACTCTTTTTTAATGATTCAATAAAAGGACTGACTCAAAAGAGTCATTTCAGTTCAGTTCAGTTAATTTTATTGTCATTCTATACATCTTGACACATGAGAATGAAATATGTACTCAGGTTCATGAGTGTATTCATAAAATTAACATATTATACTATAAACGTACACTAATACAATACTTGTTCATGAATGGAACAACACTTGATGTGTTGTACAGTGTGTTTTTGATTCACTAAAATTAACCGAAGTTGTTCAGAAATTTCATATTTTATAATTATATTTACAACACTGTGGCAATAGAACATACTCACAGTTCATAATACAATTATTAAATTTCAATATGTGATTTTTAAGGACATTTTTGACAACTTTTGGTACTCTTGTACAGTTGGATCACTCCTTAATGTCCAGTGTAAAATATGGGTCCTAAAACCAAAGCAGTTGAGAATCACTAGTCTAGCAACATGAGTCTGCTGTCTGGAATGATAATGAATAGCCTTCCTTACATCCTTAAGCTCTTATTTTAACTTTTTCTTTAATTACATGTGTGACACATTCAATAGTAGTTAGTAAACACTAACAGCAGTTTTGTCCACGTCAGAGGATTCCAGCACACAGTGAGATGAGAAATGTACACCTGAGGTCAGCGAAACGTTTCGCTGGTGGGTCGAATGAGGATGAATGAGCAGCAAAAACTAGTAAACATGTATTGTAGCTTGACAGCATTTTGAATGCTCTTATATTAGTGTTACCAGGGGTTTCCACTGAGAGCTGTTGCGCTGTGAGTGTGATGTATGCAGTAATACTGATTCTCAATCCCCATGGGCCGTAATAATGCCTGATTTGGCTCAGCAAAAGCATGAATTTGGAGTGGGTTCGTGAGAAGATAAAGAAAAAGGGAACACCTCATTATAAACAATATATAATGTCCTGTCTTAAGCAATTTTCGCTTGGTAATAATTTCATGTTATTTCTCTGAACATATAACCCAGGCATTTATTGTAAATTTTTTACATTGTATTTATTTATTTATATATTTGTATTTATGTAATTTTTTTATTTTATTTATGTCTTTAAAAACTAAAATATTTAATAGCAATAATAATAAAAATAATCTTTAAAAAAAACACGAATAAATACACGGTTAAATGTAATCTTACATTTAAAAAAATTTCAAAATAAATATCAGGTTTTTTGTACTGTATGATATATTTTTTGTGATGCCTAAATTCCCAAATTCTTGATTTTATTTTTATTTTTAATATACTTTAATTTACAAAATAGTAAGCAATTAGAATATTGGACATCTCATTGGTTATCTGCAATAGCATGAAATTGCTTATTTAAATATTTAAATTTAATATGGGAACATTCCTGAATATAAACATTTCTCATCAAATTCTTTCCAAAAATAAAAAAATAAATCATAGAAAAAATTCTTAGCTATATTATCCATATTAATTCTGTACTCAAATAAGTCTCATGGCATTTAATCTCTTTCATCAGATGTTGTGCTATATTGAGTCCATATGTTTCCTAAAAACAAAATCAACACATATACATGAGGTGCTTGAGGCCCATATGAGGTAAGGTACTTATCCCATTAGAATGGATGACTAGATGTGTAAATTGGTTGCAGGGATAAGTGTGTGTATGTGTATGTACACATTCATGTGAAGAGAGAGATTATTTTTTATCCCTAAGCACAGGCCTGACTACTCATGCTGTAGCCTCATCATTGCATCAAAATATCACAAAATGTCCTTTGTGCAGGACGGATCATTCCAGTAGCTTGTGGTGTAGTGTTATTTTAGTATGATTTATATACAGTATTTATTAATAATTTTTATTAGCTTTTATTTTTATATTTATATTTTCAACTATCATTTTAATTTAAGTTCCGGCTTTATTAATTTGATTGTGTTTTTGTCTTTTGTCCAATATTTTTGGTTAGGTTTATTTTTTATTTCATTTTTAGATTTAGTAATAATTGTACTTATTTCAGTTAGCTGCCAAGGCAGTGTTTCTAATTTTTGTTTAATGTTTTTTTAAGTTAAAAATGTTCAACTAATATTTATAAATTTTTTCAGCTTTATTTTAATTCCTGAAATAAATTTTTGGATAGTTTTAGTTTCAGTCAACAATAACAACTTTAGAAAAATCAGTGTTTTACATGCCATTTGATATGATTTTATGTGTTGTTTTCTTTTTGTACTATGCAAGGTTTTGTCGTCTGATTTGTTTTCTTTTTTGAGCCTCCTCAGAGAAATGCACCATTCCTACGCACAGTTTTTGAACAGTTGACAGCAAAGGTGATGCTTGTACCTGTAGACTCTGTGGGCATGGGCGTTTTACCAGACTTTTGTTGCGTCTGAATGTGTCTGTCTGGACCAGTCTCTGTCTTTTGTGCCTAATGAAAAAAACTTGTGCTTGCAGTGAACAGTTTCCAGCTTCCCTGGAGTTCTTGCCCTCTAATATCTGCCAGATTGTGCCTCTGACTTTAGAGTTAAATGCACTACATTCTCTCGGCTCACACGGCGGCAGGTGTGTGTACGTGTGCATGTAAGCAGCAGTAGCTATGCTGGTGGGAGGAGGTACAAAATGTTTTTCTCCTCTCGTAGAGTTGTCTTATTTCCCGTTAACTTGTTTATAGCATTATTAAATTATTATTTTCCCACAGGAATGCATAAGCAGTTTTCAGTGTCACAGTCAGAGTATCTGAATCAGCCTGGTTCCTGTCTGAACCACTGTGTACAAAAACACAGGAAATGATGCTGAAGAGGTTATTTGAAAAGCGTTGTATCAAATGATCGATCGATTGAAAACATGAGCCTTTTTGGCTATTGTGACAATATAGTGTGGTCACCATACAGCAATGAGAAACATGAAGCCTTCAGCCTGATGATGATAGAACATACAGTTAAACATTCAATCAACCAGTACTGAAACCCTAAATATTCACTCATAGTCATCTTTGTCAAACCAAGCTGCTTTTTAAATTCATTATTTATTTATTTGGTAACACTTTAATATAGGGACCAATTCTTACTATTAGCTAGTTGCTTATTAGCATGCATATTACTAGCATATTGGCTGTTTATTATTACTTATAAAGCACATATTCTGCATGAGCATATTCTACATCCCTAATCCTACCCAATACCTAAACTTAACAACTACCTTACTAGGCAGTAATTAGGAGTTTATTGAGGCAAAAGTCATAGTTAATTAATATCAGACCTTAAAATAAAGTGTGCCATTTATTTATAAAAAAAAATTTTAACCTTGCATTTTGGATCTTGGTTATGTATGTTTGTGATGCTTGGTAGGTTATATAAAAGATATGTGTTCCGCATATTTCCAGTCTACAAAAAGGGGAAAGCAACATCTTTAACATGACACCATCAAAAAACATGGGGTTGTAAAAATTATTAATGGAACTGAATTTGTAATACTTGTTGTCTGGCAAATAGTAAATTAGTTTTTAATGTTTCTAGATGTTTCTGTACTTTTTTTGTGTTGTTTTTGAGTATATTCTAATCTATAATGTATTGTTACTGCAGAGTTTAGAGTTTGACTAATTTGTGACCCATTTTGTTTATTTTTTTATTTTTGTGTATGTTCCAGAGTAAAGAAATTGGCATTCAGATGCACGAGGAGCTGGTGAAAGTGACAAACGAGCTGTACACTGTGAGTATAATGTCTCTCAATCGCTCTCTCTTTATTTTTCCTTCTCTATTTTTCTCGCTCTCCCTCTGAATGGAGCTCTCACCCCCTGTGTCCTGCCATGCACCATGGAAACGCTGACTCTCTTGCCAAAAACAAAAACAATTGGCTGTGCGACAATTTGGAGAAGAAAGAAACTGTTGCTTCACATAGATTTCTATTAAAGGATGGGAAGCTGAATCAAGGGATTTTTTTCAGGGAATAATGCACGTGGTACTATTTGCGATTGTGCTAGTGATGGGAAAATAGTAGATTGATAGAGTCGCCTGGTAGAGCGTCATAGTAGGCACATCTTAAATTACATCCACATTGCATTTTAATTTGCTTCAGAATCTGGGTCATTAGAAGCCAAAATCCTGCTTTAGTTTCTCTTACATCAACCAAGATGCAGCCTCTTTTTTTGGGCCTCTCAGTGTTTTTCCCTGGATGAAATCCAAGCTACCTCTGCAGAGGAGCAGGCTGAGATTAATGTTGTCACCCATGACAGGACATCAAAGTGAGATTCTTCTCCATCGCTCGAGGCTCGACCTATTCCAGATGTCCCCTTTGCATCTTTATGCAGGTGGCATAGTAAAATATCTCACCCGTATCTCTGAATAAAACTAGCCACAGTATAGCTCATATGATCCTTCTCCTGTTGTGCCATCTCTTGACTACGGTTGTAAATTGCAGTGTCAAAAAAGTCTAAAATGTGGTTGTACCCCACCTACCATAAAAGATCTGAAACAATAAAACATAGTCCTAAGCCGTTCTTAAATCCTTACGAGAACAGATATGATACTTATGAATCAGGAATACACTGTTACTTCCTTTAAATTGTTGAAACTCACACATATGCTGTTTGGGATCAGGCACTCTGACGCTGATGTGTTTCAAGGTCACTGACAGGGAGTGTAATGTGTCGCTGGAGAAGACATGGGAGAGGATCATTATCCTTCCCCTGCCACCCTTCCTCTTTTTTTCCTCAAATAGAGCCTGTCAGGATACCGAATCCCTGCAGAAAGAGCTAAATTATTACGTTCTGCATCATTGTGGTCACAAAATATTTAGTATGTAATTTCTCTGCTAAGTAGACACAGAAATGTGGTCTTTTGTATTATACTGTTTTATTGGAGTATAGGCTGTGTGCATTGTGCAGTGCTATCAGTTTTGATGATATATATGAATGTGCATGTGTGCGTGTGTACAAATACACACACACACACACACACACACACACACACACATAGTGTAAAATAAGTCTTTTGTTCTGTAGATTTGCCATTTTTAATTCAGCAGTCTTACATTTCATTTATTTTAAACATGAAGCATACAGTTTTTATATACAATTTTAAATGTCAGTGTCTGTTCTTTTCCCATGTATTGGTAGGTCGTAGGTTCACTATTAACATAAATTATTCAACAGTCTGAGGATTATGCTAAACAGTGTTATGAATATCACAAATTTTGTCTCACTTTGCAAACGTTATATAACGTATGCATGACAGAGCATAGTGGCTTGCTTCTGATCAACTGTTCTTGATATACAGCTTGACAATAAAAATGAAAGAGAGCCTGCACTAGTAGCCTTAAGTATTGATCACTCTTGATCCCTTCCTGTGGTTTGAGTTATGTGTTCTGAATGTAGAATAAGAAATATAAATGTAAAGCTTCTGACAGTCCCAATGTGCAATGTGAAATTTCTGCATTAGTTTTGCAATGTGTTTGTGAATTAGGATGATCAATGGTTCTTGACTTTCTTTCTTGGGTATTAAAGCAAGGCGCTACAGGCAAAATCACTGGGGGGGTTTTTCATGCACTGGTCAATTTTGAGATTTTGTGCTATTTTGCTTCCATAACATATCAGTAATCTTTCAGACTAGTGGAATGAAAACATCCAAAATATTTAAGTGTTTATTGTCTATTTACGTCTGTACATTTCAATTAAAATATATCTTCAAATGTTTTCTCAAAGTGAGTGAAATCTCCATTTCAGTATAGTACATTTTTAGAGTGTACACCAAACTTTACAGTTTTTATTCCTATAATAAGGGTTGTACAGGGTGGTTTGTTTATATATCATTCGCCTGATTTATATAGCATTTTGTTCCTGAAAACATGATGATTTATTTTTCTGGCTGTTGACAATATGTTCTGATTTATGGAGTGATAAAAAGAGATATCTAAAATCCCTTCTGTAAAACCTTTAACTCCCCCATGTCAACAAAACAACAAGCAAGAAAAACAAGAATTTTGAACCTGGCTTAATCTAATGTCTAGATTTCTGTTCTAGAAAGGTATGCAGATGAGTGCATATCTAGTTATACAATGACTCAATTTTGTATTTAAATTGTCACAGTGTTTGTTGTGGTGACCGGGACTGGTCACTTGAGGGCGCTCTTCTGTTTTACGTTGTTTGTGTTAAACTCCATTTCCCATAGTCCCCTGCTCTCTAATCCTGGTCTAATCGGTAACACCTGTTCATCATTAACCCAGCTATATATATCATGCCTTCTCTGTCTGTCATTTGCGTCTGGATTGTATTGTCTTCTCAGTTTGTGTTTTCTGTGGTCAGGTTGGATTACCTTTTGCAACGTTTTTGTTCTGTTTTGTTCTGTTATTATTTTCAATAAACTGCACATGGAACTTACCCTGTTTCCTCCTGGCATTTCGTGACAGAATCCAGACGCCATTACTAGTTCCAGCAGTTTGTTTTTGTTACCTTTTGTGGATCATGGACGTTCGGATTGTTCCTCCTCCTTCGAAGGAGCGCAGGGCTCGGCTCCGGATGTTGGCGGATCTTCGCCAACGGGGGATGGACATTGGAGATTTCGCTCAGTCCTTTTGGAACCTTGCGGTAGGGATGGGACTTCATGACTCAGACTTGAAGAAAGTCTTTAATTGTGGTTTAGACAATCCCGTGCCTACTCGGGAGATGGATGGGCTTAAAATGCTTGACTTTTGGGGCCTCATTGATTACCTTGGTTACCATTCACGGAGCCCAGTCCAGTCCCGGAGCTCACAGAGCCCGCTCCAGTCCCGGAGCTCACGGAGCCCAGTCCAGTCCAGACCCGGAGCTCGCCGAGTTCGCTCCAGTCCCGGAGCTCACGGAGTTCGCTCCAGTCCCGGAGCTCACGGAGCCCGCTCCAGTCCCGGAGCTCAGGTACTCCTGAGTTGCTGAGAGGGATTTCGGTCCCACCAATGTTGCCTGACAGGATTCTGGCTCTGTTCTGGTTGCCCGCCTGGGTTCTGGTGTGGCAGGAGCCTCACTGGCTCATTCCTCCGGCTCCGTCCTGGCCATCTGCTGGGAGTCCTGCGTGGTTGGGGTCTTGCTGGTCCATCCTGCCGGTCCCGCCTTGGCCTTTCACCCTGCCGGTTCTGTGCTCATGCCTTGGTCTAGCTCTGTCCTCTTCCGTTGGTTGGTCCTGGACCGCCATCCCTCCCCCTGGTCCGCCTCTATTCCACCTCCCTCCTGAACTTTTGTGTGTCTGGTGGAGCGTCTGGTATCCGCTCTGTAGAGGGGGGATAATGTCACAGTGTTTGTTGTGGTGACCGGGACTGGTCACTTGAGGGCGCTCTTCTGTTTTACGTTGTTTGTGTTAAACTCCATTTCCCATAGTCCCCTGCTCTCTAATCCTGGTCTAATCGGTAACACCTGTTCATCATTAACCCAGCTATATATATCATGCCTTCTCTGTCTGTCATTTGCGTCTGGATTGTATTGTCTTCTCAGTTTGTGTTTTCTGTGGTCAGGTTGGATTACCTTTTGCAACGTTTTTGTTCTGTTTTGTTCTGTTATTATTTTCAATAAACTGCACATGGAACTTACCCTGTTTCCTCCTGGCATTTCGTGACATAAATAAAACATTTCAGAAAAATTGTAATACAAAACAGTTGTCTTAATGTACTGTGATTAATCAGCTGGGGAAAGTATGGCGGTATCTATGAATTAAAATGTTCACCCAGTACAGTCTTCTATGTGCAAAGTCTATGAAATCTGTCGATCAGATTGAAAACCAAAATTGCATTTATTTCTTTTTAGTTCCATCTGAGAAGCTTGAAAACTTTAAAGTAGTGTTTGCTGTAATTTTTGTAATGGAAAGTTCTGTGGATTTTGCTCACAGTTTGTGGAAAGTGAAAGCTCAGCAGCTTTTATATATAACAAATAGGCCTATAACAAATGAGAGCTGAAGAACATTGAAATTGGTTGTGTATTGTATTTGAGAAAATAAATCTTTTTTCTAAATGATAGCAAAACAGCTCATTATAAATTCCGCAGCTTTAAAGAAATTAATGTAGTGCCCTTGCACGACTGTACTTGAAGCTCTATTAGACATGCTTCTATGCATAAGAATTGGGTGTTGACTTTGGGAGCCCTCCCCAAAGACATTGACATGTGACTTAATTGAATGTGAATTAAATTTGCAGACCTTCATTGCAGACCTGCAGAATTGCAGACCTTCAAAACCAAAGAAATAATAGGATGTTGTTTCTCTTATTCAACCAGTTTGCATCTCGTACCTCTTTTATGGCATGGTAAACAGGAGAGATCATATTATGTTTATTGCAGAAATTGAAGTCCTGCCTTTTTTCCTATTCTTTTATGTTCTGAACAAGATTGTCACTCATTGTCATGGTCCTCTGTCTCTTCAGGGTCTTGAAGGCATCAGCCTGCATGCAATGCAGATGATCAGTCTAATATGATGAATGAGTCTGTGCAGCCCATTTTCTCCAGTCCTTGTCGATCACAAGGTCTTACAAAAGATAGTCTGTTTTTGGCTGGTTGACAGGTAAATAGTTTAGTTGGAATGCCTGAAATTTTTCTGCAGTTTTCAAGAAATTGAAATGGTAGCAGTTAGGGTGTGTACCGCAGTACAGAAGCACACAGACGTGCTCCGGGCAGTTTCTGTGGAAATGGAAGTTGTATATAAATCATTGCAAGTTAGTTTAAGGTTTCTGGCTAATGCTCAAATACTGAGCTAATGCGGCTTAGCAAAGGAAGCGAGACTATCCTTGCACAGCTCTCGGACAAACTTAGGCCACAAAACCTCATTGGTGTTCGATGTGAGAATAAATGTTTTGTCAGTTCTTCAACCTAAGAATTGTGAAAATGTGTTTCATGTGGTAACATGTAAACTGGTGATTTTTAAAGGCAAATATTTTGCTTTAAAACAGATGGTTTCAGCAGTGATTATTTATGTTTGTTTTGTTTTGTGAAATATTTCCTTAAAAATAATTTTTTGTAAAAATAGCAATTTAGTCACAGCTAAAGATTTTACATTTTTATAACATTTTCTATATACATTTATATATATTATATTTATATATACATATAAACTGTTTTGAAATGTTAAATATTACCCTCTCCTTTGTGAATATACTGTACAAGATTTACTGACGCTAGCTGTGACTGTTATTTTATTGAAAATCTGAGTTATAGTTAGTTTCGGAGTTGCTATAAGCTACTTTTTTCATAAAACACACCATAGATTTTTATAGAAACCATATTTAGTTTGATGTAACCACGAGGAGGAGTATTACATGTGTATTACATGTGATCTTACTACAAAATACCACAGTTAAACTATGGTTATTTTGCAAGCTACATCAGATCTGTACCATAGCAGAATTTGCCATCCTATTAAAAATCATTTGCGTGAGACCTTTTTACATTTTATTGAAATATTTTCCCTAATTACAACAACATATATACCATAAGTACATGTGTTTAAAGAGATCCCACTGCTGTATCTAATGTCAATCTTCCCCAAGCGTTGCTCTTTACAGCGTAGGTCATCTCACCTCAACATGCCTGTAAATACAATTTTGATGCTGGAGGTTTACCAGCCATGTCCATCAAACATGCTTGTAAACATGTTCCTTTGCTGTGTTCTCTTTGAGGGGCATGAGCTGATGAGTGACAGCTTGGGGAGGAGCTGAGTGCTAACCTAGATTTTCTCCTGCACTGGAGTACATAGATCCTGTCGAATTTACTCACCCGCTCAGTATTTTTATTGGTAATAATTTCACCCTGCCTGCAGATTTAAGATTGTGTCACCTTGAGTGTTGTACTGTTTAGCTTTCTTTGTGTCATTGAAAATTATAAAATAATGTCATTGAATTCTGATGGATCAGTTCTAAGTTGTATTATTTGGTTATAATGTTACGTATATGCTGATGTGTGTAAGGTTTGTATGTAATATTCCATGCAGCATAGAATAGAATAGGATAGGATAGAATAGGCTGTTGTTTTAATGGTCTCTTCAAGCATGCATACCGCAGATTCTAGCACATTTTGCCCTCCATCAACCTTGTAATGGCTGCATCGTTTACACAACTGCATGTGAAATGCCAGAGAACACCATCTAAGAATCGGTAAGCTTGAAGACATTTCAGACTGTGTATGTTTACTAGACCCTGTTAAAAGAGCTGGTGATCTGTCCGGAGCCAGACACAGCTTGCACTTCTCTGAGAAACATCCTTTGCATCCTCTTCCTAATGAACCTGAGGAAACAGCTTTTTCCATCAGGGAATACTATAGGGACATTGGGCCTGGATCCTGTGTAATGTTTAATGACTGGAACATGTTATAATAGTCCAAAGAACAAAGCTAATGGTGTAAGTGTATTGAATTTAGAGCATTTAACATGGCTTCCTCATGTGTATGTCAATATTTTGAAGTATTTGTGACTAAAATTGTTCATATTTTATGGTGCAGTTGATCTTATTCATAAAGGTATTCATCAAAGAAAACTGAAAGTATTTTTTTTGTTTCCACAAAAAAATATTAAGCAGCAGAACTGTTTTCAACATTGATTTCCGAAGTCTGGAGAAATGCCTGCTGATGTTAAGTTTGCCATCACAGGAATAAATTACATTTTTAAAATATGCTGGAAAAGAAAATGGTTATTTTAAATTGTAATAGCATATCACAATATTGCTGTTTTTACTTTATTTTTGTTTAAATAAATGCAGCCTTGGTGAGCATAATACATTTCTTTTAAAAACATTAAAAAAATCATACAGACTTCAAGCTTAGAAAATTAGTGTATGTAATATTGATAGAAGGGAACATTTGTAATTTTTTATATTCAGTTTATATTCAGAAATAAGAGTGTAGGTAATTCGATTGTAAATACTTGCTCTGACTTTGATTCTTTAGAGTGTTTTTTTCATGATTTGTCAGATTTTGGTACAATTCACGTTTCATATAACATTTTGATATTTTTTGATGCTCATAAATTTTATTTTTAGGTAATACATGTACACATAATTGGATATCATTATCGTTATTTCAGTTATTATTATCAGTTATTAATTCAGTAAATGATGCATTGAATTTGCTTTTTTTGATTGCTACACCCCTAAAGTAAATCATTCACAATTGTGATCCACAAAAGAATGAAAGTTTTATGGTTTGAGAATTACATGAGGGTGTAAGTAATGTCAGAATTAAAATTTTGGGTAAACATGTCCTTTTATTGGTTAAAGCCATAGCCATTTATAGGTTAACCTCCACAAAAAGTGTAAACGTGGTGGCTGTGGTGCTTTCAAAGTGTTGTTTGTTTGAGCAGTTTTATATGTTAACTTTCAATGCTGTAAATTTGAGACAGGACTACTTGTTTGTCCAAATAATGGACAATGGGGGAAAACCTGGACACAAACAATTATTTTTGCTGTTGAATTTAATATTGGAGCAGCACAGACACATTTCACCTTTAAATCACAGAGGAAGCAGCACTAAAAGCATGCATAGTGCCATCGTGCGGACGCACTTGATGACCTCCTCTGGAATGATCAGATGATCTGTGGGTGTGAAGTTAGAGTGAAATAGCTGAGTGTATGTACATTAATGTCAGGGTCAGTGCAGATGAGCAGTCTGTGGACGCCTGCAGGCTGGCTGATTTAATAAGCGTTTTATTGAAAACACCATCAGACAGGCATCTGCCGGCTATAAGGAGCGGAATAAAGCCGGGCAGTGGTGCAGAGGACCCCCCTCCCCTTTCACTTGCTCTGCTCTATTGTTTGAGCAGAGAGGATATTAATGGGGTTGAATAGCAGACTGGGTCACACCAATCAGACATGAGGTAAAACAGTTTGCATCGTTGCAAACACCTCAGTCACACAGAGAGCTCCGTCGTCGGAGTCAGCAAAGCTGAAAGCTGTTTGTTTGAATCAGCTTTGTGTTTCATACACGCTGGTGGAAAGAGGCAGGATTATGGTACTTCTGCTGCCAAGTCCATACTCCTATGTATATTCATGAGGTGATCTGCTCTGTAGAGCTGATGGGAATACAACTGATCCTTCTCAACTGAGACCTGCACAGCTTCTCTGGAATTAAACTAGTTTGGAGATCATTTCAAGGAAGTGTCAGGATTTAGTTGTTTTGTATCACCAAGGAAACTCATAGATGTCTTCATTTTAAATAAATGTGAGAATAACATTTATGAAATGTTTCATTTTGTTGTTTTACATTTAAAGCCTTGGGTTGTTTCTGCAGTACATATTCTCATTTACATTTTTATGAAAGTTCTAGTATAATCCAGGATTTTGTCCCACATAAAGGATTTTTTTCAGTGTTTGTTACTTTCTTCTGTCCCAGTTTAATGCGCAAAGGTAATACACTTCTCCAAGCCTGCGTTTATGTAATCAAAAATACAGGAAAGACAGTAACATTACAGTTTAAAATAACTGTTTTCTATTTTAATATATTTTAAAAGGTAATTTATTCCTGTGATGGCAAAGCTGAATTTTCTGCAGCCTTTAAGATTCTTTGAATAATAAAAAGTATATTTACATTTTTATGTAACATTATAAATGTCTTTACTGTCACTTCTTTTTATCAATTTAGTGCATCCTTGCTGAATAAAAGTTTTAAACAGTGGTGTATTTTTTTTCTGAAAGTATTCCCCAGCACCATAGATCTAAAATATAATTTGTGCTTTCAGTATTCCAACACACTCTAAAAAATGCTGGGTTGGTTCAACCCAACTTTGGGTCAAATTTGGACTAACCCAACGTTTAGGTTAAAAATGTAATGTACAAATTTAACCCAGCGGTTGGGTTAGTTAGGAAGATTTTGGAAGATTATTAGCTGGTTCAAAAATGTTTTTAAAACATCGCTGAGAGGATTTTAAATGGCATTTTTCTGAAGCAGGATTTCAGACCAATGAGATTTTGGAGTGGGCGGGGCAACCAAGTGAAACAGCAGAAATGAAAATCAAACTATCTGCGAATATCATTTGTTTTCACAGTTAGTTAGGACAAAAACTCACATGACAGAGATTTTATCATTACCCATCTGGTTAGGATATAGTGTGATGCTGTTAAACTAGTCTTTATAGTATTTTATATCATCCTACAGGTGATGAAGACGTATCACATGTATCACACGGAGAGCATCAGTGCAGAAAGCAAGCTGAAGGAGGCCGAGAAACAAGAGGAGAAACAGTTTAGCAAATCTGGAGACATCAACGTCAACCTCCTGCGCCATGAAGACCGACCCCAGCGCCGCAGCTTGGTCAGGAAGATTGAGAAGATGAAGGAGAAGGTGAGATTACTCTGGTGAGCTTGCGGCAGAGCTCATAGTGCTCAGTAGAGTGACTCATAATGCCTCCCTGCTTTTATTAAACCAAAGGGCCATTGCAGCCTAGAATCACATTCATTTCTTCTCCCGACACTCTCAAGCAGGATTGTGACCCTTTAAGAGAAAGATTATGTTATTTCAAGTGGTGTATATTGTCTCTGCACAATGGAGAATAAAGCTAGCCCTTTGTCACTCCTAGACTTCCTTTGAAAACCACTGTGGAAGGAAGTGAAAGCCCACATTGCATCATCATGACCAATGTCTTTTTATCCAAAGCTACTTTCAGTACTCTTATTAGACAATCCCCCTGGAGGAACCTTGAGTTAAGTGCTCTTGTTCTTGGTTAAGTGCTCAAAAGCACAATGGTGACACCTCTTTGCGAGGATCAAACCAGAAAACTTCCGAATGCAAACACTGAGCTTCGTTTGGCAGTAAATGCTGTTCCACACAAACTCTTCTCTTCAAGTGCTCCAAGTTTGGGTCACTTACTTGTAATGAGAAGTGCTTATAAATCCTCTTTTCTTCAAGTATTTTTTCAACAAATGAGAAGCTTTAATGACTTCCTGCATTTTTCCTTTGAAATAAAAGCTTAATTTAAGACATTTAATTAATTTAATAATAATTTTTTTCTTATCTAATTTATTTTTTACAGTGAAATATTACAAAAGTAATACGTTTAA